GACTGGTAACGAAAACAGCATTATTTAAGGTAGAAAAACTAAAATATATCTGTACTTCTTGGAAGATAACAAGCTGAAAAAAATAAGATGAAACCAAAACATTATTAAGAAGTCCTGCAATGTAGAACTTTCAAAAGATTGAAGTGAAACCCGAGTAGAGGAAAGGCTCACCCAATATAGAATTGCTCCAAGTAAAACAAGCAACCATGAAGTTTTTAGGATTGAGCCACTGAAAATGAAGGTGCACCTTGTTTGCGTAGATAGTGACTTTCAGTTCTTTCAAGTATTTTTTAGTCATCCTATCTTTAGGATCGTTCTCATTCGGATATAATCTCGATTCATTCATATACCTTTTCTTTACTCAGGTGTCATAAGTTAAACTAGTCCATTTGATAATTTATTCCCCAAAGATATCCTACTTATACATATTGAAGTGAACAATAGGAACAGAATTCTTGACAATTATTTGGAAGTTCGACTTCTTTTTAATGGATTCCCTATAAGAGGTAGAGTTTGATCCAACCAGGATATGAAGAGATCTTATGTTTATTTTAGGACGTTCTCAAACATATTGAAAGTAAGATCGTGCTCCCGTGCTCGATCAAGGATGTGAATAGTAGCTAGTTTGTGTTCGTTAGGTTTGCTTTATGTTTAGATTAACACAGCAATATATTCACTCAGCAGAATTTCTTAATGTTTCTACCTGACTTGTTATCTAACATCCATCAAGAAAGGGAAAAGAAACCCCCATCACCTTGGCAGAAGCTTGGATTTCTCGGGCAGTCATGTCCAGTGCAAGAGCATAACCTGACATGTCAAAACAAAAATTTGTAATGCATTGCTCAAGATTATGAACTATAAACGGTGCATGACTTGGGAATTAAACAATTTCTCCGGAATGCTATTCCTCAGAGTTCAGAGGGGAAATTCCCAAACGGTCAATCAAAAGGGTTATAAACACGATTAGAATCAACGAATCGACTCAACAAATTCACTCAAGATTCAGAAATATAGTAGCCCTACCCCCAACATAATCCATGGCGGAGGCTTCAGGAACGTCACGAGCTTTCTGCGAGATGACAACAGCGAGCTCAACCTCGTGATCCAAAGACTTCAGAGCGTGAGGGATCTCGATCGTCCCTCCATTTTGCAAGTAAGACGACGTGGGTTTCATAAACAAAACCGGCTCCTAAAACAGATTCAAGGAAAAATTGCCACATCCAGTTAATAAATCGCAATCATAAACAACACAGAATCAACTAATTAACTCCCCGTGAAAAACATCAACAATCATAGTCCAGAATGAAAATGAAATTTGTTAAAAACCTTGGGGATGGCGTTGCCGAGTTCTTTGGCATGGGCGGCGTAGTTCCGGCCAACACCAATAATCTTGGTTCCTACATTCAAAAGATTCGCGTACGCCGTTGCCATTTTCCGATGTCGAACTCCAACAAATTCAGCGATCTCACAACGCAGCCAGGAATTAAAAAAAATGGAGGCAAAAGAAGACAGTGAATGAGATGAGATATTTTTAGTTTTAGCTCGAAACTCATTTCAATTCCGACTTTGATTTATTTATTTTTTATTATTATCATTATTATTATTATTATTATTATTATTATTATTTGTGTTTTTTAAAAAATTAAAAATTAATTTATAAACCAAACTAATAATTGTATTATATTATTTAGCCAGCAAAAATTCTCATATATATATATATATATATCAATGACCCAACATCTCCCTCCGGGCCCAGGCCCAGGCCCAGGCCCATCCATTGCTTGACAAAGAAAAGTTCAAAAAAAGATGTCCCACATCGATAAAACGTGAGAATAGACCTGCAGTGATCGCATATAAAAGGTTGGAGGAGGGAAGGGTAAAAGCATCTTTGCGCTTGGGGCAATGACGCAGCTAGTGAGGTTCTAACCGAGGCGCGTCAATTGCTGGTTGAAAACTATTTCCAAACCCCCTCTTAGGCCTGGGCTTGCCCCTGGCCTAAGAGAATTTCTGGAAGGGCTCCCTTTGGGGTAAAGCCCTACATACTCTACTCTTAAATTTTTCCCATTTTCATTCATAATCACACTATTGTTTCAAATGTTATTCTTTTTTTTTTTATTGTTAACATCAACACAGTATTTCATCTTTTTTTTTTTATTGTTAACATCAACACAGTATTTCATCTCATATAAGGTCAGAAGCTCAGGATTTTCAATGAATCGCTTCCACTCGTTACAGAATTTAGCCACTGTTGCTCCATCCAAAACTCTTCTGTGGTTTGCTCCAATGTTGACCTGACTGAGGAAGCAAGAAACGGAGGTTTAAGGGGTTTGTTTTGGATTGTTTGGAGAAATTCTTGATTGATCGATTGGGTTTGTGATGCTCACCGTCGTGATCGATGTGGGGGGTACACGCCCCCATCGTCGGCCTGTGGAACCTTTTTGATTCGGCCGACTGCAATGACTGATTGTACCGCCGGATATATGTTCAGGGCTAAGCTTGTTATCCATTGCGAGTTGTTGTAGGCGTGAAAGCTCCTTTGTGATCTAAGCAAATGCATTTGAAAGACTAAGTTTTCAGTGAAAGGGCAGCAGACATGCCAGCAACATTGGCTAAGGAATGACAATTGTTGAAGAAAGCTATCTGCTTCAATGCTATAGATTTAAATAGATCAGCATTCAAACAATTCAGAAGCTAGAATGCCCAGAAAATGACCCACCTTTTCGTTTAACCACACCGGTATCAGATATTGTTACTTTCCGGCTTCTCCTCAAAGTTTTTAATATTCATATGTTAGAAAGAGATTTTCACCCTTATAAACAAGATTTCGTTCTCTTCCTCAATGGAGATCTCAAAAAACAAAAAGAGACCGGACAGTAGCCATGACAATTCCAATATTATGGGAGCCTACCACAAGCAAAAATAAATACAGTTGTGAATCAAATAAGAACAATGATGGGATTCAAATTTAATGTGGGGATCATATTCTTTGATGTATTATGTTCAAACATCTCCCCTTTGTTGGATGAAAGTCCCCGTGCATGTGTTTATAATCAAGAAATACTATCTCCATTGGTACGAGGCCTCTTGGGGAAGCCCAAAGCAAAGCCATGGGAGCTTATACTCAAAGTGGACAATTTCATAGTATTGTGGAGAGTCGTGATTCCTAACATAACATGGTATCATAGTCATGCCCTAAACTTAACCATGTCAATAGAATCCTCAAATATCGAACAAAGAATCGTGAGTCTTGAAGGTGTAGTCAAAAGTGACTAAAGTGTTGAACAAATGGTATACTTTGTTCGAGGGCTCCAGAGAAAGGAGTCGCTCGATTAAGGGGAGGCTATTCGAGAGCTCAAGAAGCCTCAGGGGAGGTTTATAGTGTACTTTGTTCGAGGGAGGATTGTTGAGGATTATTGGGAGTGAGTCCCACACTTTCCTAATTTAGGGAATGTTCATGGGTTTATAAGTGAGGAATACTATCTCGGTATGAGGCCTTTTAGGGAAGCCCAAGCAAATCCATGAGAGCTTAGGCTCAGAGTGGACAGTGCCATGAGAGCTTAGATTCAAAGTAGACAGTATCATACCATCATGGAGAGTCATGATTCCCAACCCATCCCACTGGCCTTTTTTTTTANTTTTCCAATCCGTAATCCGATTCGTTAAATTTTCTTCACGAAACTTGTAGACCTCCTATTCTACTCCTTGGAAAGAATTTTCTTAAATTTTTCTGATGATCACAGATCTTATTATTTGAGTTCAAATTCGGAGAAAAACACAAGTTCTTACCGAAAATCACGTTATCTTTAAACTCCGATTTGAACGCCGATCTTGGCCGCCTTCACTTCAGAACTTAACCAGATAGCGCTGTTGGGGGGTAAGAGTCCAAGGATCAACACAAAACGTTGCTAGCACACGAAAATTTTGATGACTTCTCCATGTAGATACTCGTGGACTAACCTGAAGTTCTTGAACGTTTTGTCGAGATAGGAAGGTGCGATTCGTGAGAGCACCTTGCCTCGAGCTATTCAACGGTTTAGATTGGGGACTCGGTTCTCCGGCGTCGGTTCTGATCCGATCTCCTCCCCTTCCTCAAAACCCTAATCTTCTTTCCCTCTTCTTTCTCTTTTCCCCATTTTAACTCAGCCAAAACAAACCCCTCAACTTATAGGGGCGAAATGACTAGTTTGCCCCTATTGTAACCATTTTTTTTTTTTTTTTTTTTTTTTTTTTTTTTTTTTTTTCAGTGGGTAGGTTTTGATTTCTGAATATGAAACTGAAAAAAAAAGGTGTTTTTTTTTTGTTATATAGAAAGATTTAATTTTTATGCAAATTTAGTTAATTCAAACAGTAATATGATATTAAATAGTAACAATAATTTATATTTTATTAGTATAAAGTTTGAATATTCAGTATATTTATTTTATTATTATTTCTCTTTTTAATTTTTCTTATAAATTATTTATTTAAAAATAGTTATTAATATTGACTGCTAAATAAATTCAAAACTTCTAATTCTTAAAAGTAATTAAATCTGATACATGATGAAATACATTTTGTAATTCTCTTTAAGAGCATAAACTATAGCAAACCTTGAATAATTTACTTAACCTAGATTGCAACCAACTGCACCCTTATAAGAAATGCTTTCTTCTCTACTCCAATCGAATCGATATGAGATCTCACAATCCACTCCCCTTGAGGGCTCAGCGCCCTCGCTGGCACACCGCACAATGTTTGGCTCTAACATCATTTGTAACAATGTAAACCTGGCTCTAACATCATTTGTAACAGTGTAAACCCATCGCTAACCTATATTGTCTGCTTTGAATCATTACGTACCCCCGTCAACCTCACAGTTTTAAAACACGTCTGTTGGGGAAGAGTTTTCACACCCTTATAAAGAATGTTTTGTTTCCCTCTTTAACCGACGTAGGATCTCACAATGGTTTAGAGCCTCGGACTCTGAACTGCATTCTGTTTTAATGACATCGCCGACCCCCTTTGAGACATCATGTAAATGCATTTACATTGAATTTCTTGTTTCACCATTTAATTTACTGCCCACTGATATATCAGTTATAATATATAAAATGCTACACCAAGTGATTTATATACTGGCAGAATAGATTATACATACAGGAAATAGTTGTAGCGCCATCATCGCAGGCTCGCCAAACTACTCGGTGGCATCATTGTCAAGGGGAGATCAACCATCAACCAGATTTGAAAAGTAAAACTGCTTTCTGGTCCAGGTAGAAGTAAACAAAATGGTTCGACTCGTGTGTCACATAAGAACCTGAAACACAAACCAGAGAATAGAATCATCCCTGATATTAATTAAATACAGGCTGAACTAACACTAATCGGGCACTGAATAAAGCTCCATAATCAAGAACAAGACAATGCACTACAACATTCAACGAGATGAGGGAGCATGTTTTTATAGAATTTTTAAATTATCGATATGAAGCCAAGCAAGTAAAACTGTTAGAAGTTCTCTGCATCTGCTAACACAATAACTACAAGAGCCTGCAATTTTTACGGCTGTTAGCAATTAAGTTCGCTCAGCCAAAATGAAAAAACTAAATGGTTCACTAATACCACCCTGTTCTTTCAAAGGCTTGTGATGAGTGGATTGGCCGTGTAAAGGAAATTTTTGGGCTCTATAAGGTAACCGAAACCACGAGCGGGAGCACTACCGACCTGCAAGTTACATTCCAACTTAAGCTCCATGCATTTAGCATTCAGCTCTAAATCTTGGTATGGCATGATAAAAAGAGTTTACTCCTGAAAGTTTATATTAACATGGCTTGTTAAATGAACACGACTCTCCGCAATGGCATGATGTTGTCTACTTTGAAGCTCTCATGACTTTGCTTTCGGCTTCCCCAAAAGGCCTCACACCAATAGAGATGTATTTCTTTACTTAATGATGTTGTCTACTTTGAAGCTCTCATGACTTTGCTTTCGGCTTCCCCAAAAGGCCTCACACCAATAGAGATGTATTTCTTTACTTATAAACCCATGATCATTCTTCTCTAAATAAATTAGCCAACATGGGACTCACTCCCAACAATCCTCAACAATCCTCCCCTCGAACAAAGTACACTCTTTCTTCGACACTTTTTCGAGGCTCACAATCTTTGTTCGAACTCATGATCATTCCCTAAATTAGCCCAATGTGGGACTCACTCCCAACAATCCTCAACAATCCTCCCTTCGACACTTTTTCCACTCTTTCTTCGACACTTTTTCGAGGCTCACAATCTTTGTTCGAACTCATGATCATTCCCTAAATTAGCCCAATGTGGGACTCACTCCCAACAATCCTCAACAATCCTCCCTTCGACACTTTTTCGAGGCTCACAATCTTTGTTCGATATTTGAGGATTCTATTGTCATGGCTAAGTTTAGGGCATGGCTCTAGTACCATGTTAAATGAACATGACTCTCCACAATGGTATGATATTGTCCACTTTGAGTATAAGCTCTCATGGCTTTGCTTTGGGCTTCCCCAAAAGGCCTCACATCAATGGAGATGTATTTCTTTACTTATAAACCCATGATCATTCCCTAAATTAGCCAATGTGGGACTCACTCCCAACAATCCTCAACATGGCTCTACGTGTCCTTGTGATCATTGATCACAGCCTTTGATTCTTTGCCTATAAGAATTGTTTGTGTCCCTAACAGCACAAAGAGAGAAAGTTGCAGATCACCTCCTTATGTCTTGTCAGGCAATCTTTTGGATCCCATAAACACCAAGAACTTAACATTTGACGCTCAAATAAAACATGACACAGTATATTTTGATTCCTACCTTTCACAGTGCAAACAGAACCATGAATATATCAGATTGAGTCATGTTCAACAAAAACTGCTAAAGAGAAAATATCACAGTGAAGTCAGCTCTAGTTCAAAACAATTCTATCTCACTATGTTTGTTGACCTCATCATCAAAAGTAGATGGGAAGCCCCTACCCTGGTTGCCACCAACCATGGCAAGACCATCCAATGATATTCAATTCATGTAGGCAGACAAGATTGCTGTAGCGGATAATTAGCTAGCAAATTCAATATAGAGTAGGGCAATGGACCAAATGGAGCCAAAATTCTCCAATAGAGTTACTTAAGAGCTAGATCTCCATTTCAGTAGGGGGAAAAAAGCTACAGACTGAAGTTGAAGTTAGAGAAGCATTTCCGAGAGACTAAGGTAATAGAAATTTATAAAGAATCTGTCCAATAGAAATTTATAAAGAATCTGTCCATCAGACTGAAAGAAAGCGAAAATTAATCAGGAAGGCTCTACCAAAATTACGACCGACGATGCAATGCCAGGTAGGGCCATGTCTCTGATCGAACTCCTTCTTTATGTGCTCGGCGACATCCTTCTCGACGCTATGCTTCTCAAAAGCCTAAACAACAACAACAACAACAACAACAAACGAAACAGATTGTGAACGAATTAGTTGAGAAATGATATGTAATGAGATTGAGAGAGATTAATTATTTGGAGAGAGAAAGAAGCAGTAACGGCTATAGCAATGTCAACAGCCTCCTTCTGCATGTCGCCGAACATATCGGCGCTCTTGATGACGATTTTCTTGGCGGCGGCGGCGGCCACAGATGAGGCTTTGCGATCCTCAGATTCCGGCTTCACCATTAGAGGATTGGGATTGCTGCGCTTGGATTCTTGGTTCATGTTTCCGTGGAGTTCTAGGGGTAAGAGAAGAACAGAGAGGTTGAAGAAGGAGAAAGCCTCTCGCTCTCAACAACCATCACTCTCCGTCTCCTGTAAGATTCCCGAGGCCCACTTCCTCTCGTATTCCTTTTTCCTTTTTCTTTTTATTTTTTAAATCACAATCACTTCACTAATATTAAATTTTTTTAAAAAAATTTGTTTATAAAATATTTATTAAAAAATATATATCTTTTAATAAATAAATAAAAATAATAATAACTTAATTAAAATATCGATTCACTTCTTATGTCGATACTAATTTTATAAACATGTGTAAGTGTCAACTCGAGCTCGACGGCGGCCTATTTTATTTTCCATTTTTACCCTTGCATTTATAGGAAAATAATAAGGTTGAAAAGTGATTAATTTATTAAAATAGGGATATTTGTGTAAATTAAATTGTAAAATGGAGTATTATTTTATAAAATTAAAAAATAATAATTAATATAATAAGAGAGGATCTGAGTCCAATAGGCCCAGCCCATCAAGTTCTCGAGATCCTCTCTGTTGAAGACTGTGAAGCATGTGACGCACGTGACCATGGGAATCTAACTTGTTACTAACGTTCTATTATTCCAAATTTTAACTATATATATATATATAATCTTAACAACTCAAATATAATCACAACCCAACTCAAAACTCTATTTTTCGGGTTGGGTTCCGGGTTTTATTATTATTATTATTATTATTATTATTCTAAAAGTCATTTTTATTGACGGTATATGTTACATTAATAATAAAATCATATAAACCTCGAATATCAAATATTCACATGTCATGACGCATCACTATCAGAGTCATGCTCTTAACTTGGTCATATCAATAGAATATTCAAATGTCGAACAAAGAAGTTGTGAGCCTTGAAGGTGCAGTCAAAAGTGACTCAAGTGTTGAACAAATAATATATTTTGTTCGAGATCTCTAGAAAAAAGAATCGAGCGTCGATTAAGAAGATGATGTTTGATGGCTCCATAGGTTTGAGAAGAGGCTCTATGGTGTACTTTGTTCCAAGTGAGAATTATTGAAATGAGCCGTCCCACGTTGACTCATTACCCTAAACTCATGCTCAAAGTGGACAGTATCATACCACTGTTTAGAGTATAATATCTATTAAAAACGTCAAATATTATTCATGGGTTGACCTAACTTTTTCAATCTTTCAAAAATTCAACCGAAAAAATATATAACCGAACCTAAAATTTATAGTTTGAGTTTAGTAGTCGGTACGGGTCGAGTGATCGAGTCATTCGAAATAAAAAGAAAAAATAATTATTTAATTTGGTGGATATTTAGTACATGAAAAAACAAAAACAACCGGACAACCGGTCATGCCAGTCAACAATATTCGAAAATACACAAACAAAACCAACGGGTAGAAGTTTTGACTCCTTGAAGTCTCAATAAGGATTTACAATATCCACTGGAAATTTAAACAACATAAAAATTAAAATTAAATAAAAAAAGATAATTAATTTCATCATTAGTACGTAAATTTAAACTACTGCATCTTAATTTGAATTTAATTTTGTGTTCAGATTCTTACAGCCAGCAATGAAGGAATCGCGTCCAAATTTGGAGTTGAATTTTTCTCCGATGATTCCCGTTTTCCTTCCGACGAGGAAGACGGCGGCTTCCCGAACGCTCTCATCGGACTTGCAAATGCCCACCCTCTGTTCTTGCTCCGCCCCTGTCCGTATGGTGCCGGCGGGAACCTCCCGTCATCGCCGGAGGATGACGACACCCAGTACGACGATGAGGCGGAAGACGAAGACGACGATGTTTGATTCATGAACCCACCGAATATTCCGCCGCATTTCGCTCGCTCTTTCAGGCACTCGCTGCTATTGTTCACGGCGGCGATGGCGGTGGAGGTTATTTTGGGTTTTCCTTCTCTGTGAGACTCCACTCTCCGAAGTGTACAGTCGCCGAAACCGGTGATTCTTTCGAAGAAGTCGCCGGAGAAACTCCGGCTACCGCACCCGACGGATCTGGATCTAGATACCTTCCGTTCAAACGAAGAAACCGAGGCAGAGGCAGAGGCATGACTACTGTTCGGACTATCCTCGCCGTCGTCCTCCGCCGTGCCGGAGAAATCTTTATACGTTTCCGTTGATTTTTCCTTAAACCCATGATCGATTTTCCTCGAGGAATGGGATTTAGTTGAAAGATCGAACAGAGACCAAATCCATCCTCTGTTTTTCGGATTATAATCTTCGCCGTGGTAGGGATCCAGAAATTTCCCTCTCGCCGGAGTTGTAGTGGATTTACACCGGCGGAAACCTGCCTCCGGCTGCTTCTTCTTCTTAGACAAAAAGGGGATTCGAGTCCTTGCCGCCGCCGCCGCGTGATGATCGTGGCAGTGACTCCCAAATTTAACCGACGAAGCGGCAGAGCCGACGGCGGCGAAATCAGATCTGAAAGAGGAGGAGGAGGAGGAAGAAGAAGGTGGCAGAGGAAGGGGAGAAGAGGAAGAGACTAATTTGCCGAGCTTCTCTTGAAGACAAAGTGCGCAGATCCCTCCTTGGTTGCTCCGATAAGGATGGTAACGGCACCTCATGCCGTCGTCCATGTCGTCGTCATCAGCGGCGGCGGCGGCGGCGGCGTTGGGTATTTCGAGCATCGGCGGGGAGTGCAGAGAGAGTGGAGAAGCAGAAGACAAAACCTTCACTTAAAAATAAAAATGGAGAGAGACAGAGAGGAGACCCAAGGATGAAGACGACAGTCTGTGCTTTGGTTTCCTCCTCGCTAACCTTTTTAATATATTTTTCCATACTAAAAAAAAATAATAAAAAATAACACTTATTATTTGATTCTCGACACCTTATTAACTCGATAAAACACCGATTACTTAAAGCTCGAGACCTTATTAAATAGATAAAACGCCAATTACTTGAAGCTCGAGACCTAAATCTCAGCTCCACTTTGTAAGCATTGTTGACTACTGAAAGGACTCTAAGAATTATGGGCAATCATGTGATCCAAGAACATAACCTGTCAAAATTTAGTGCATTTTATTGCTAGTTTAAATTAAATATATGTTAAACATTAATAATTAGTTAATATTTTTCTCTTTATGATTTGATTTGTAGTATATTTTATTTTATCCTTAAGTTAGTTTATATTTTTCTTATTTGTACCATTAATTGGTATATTATATCCTATTCGCTGTGAATATTAATGAAGATACAATCTTTTATCCCAATTTTATTTCTTATTCTTAAATCTATATTCTTTATTAATAATATTTTTAGATTTATTCACACTTTTGGTAGATATTGTGTTACGTAGATTATCAAGTTCAAACCATAAATGTTGGGATGAGTTTTATATATATATATATATATATATTTATTATTATTTTTTTTTCCTCAGTTGGGTTGAACTAGGTCGGGTTGCAGGTATACATTTTTTTGGTCGGGTCAACAATTAACCCAAAAATATAGTTACAACCCAACTTTATCTTACCCTATCCCACCCCACTTTTAAGATTATTATAAAAATTAAGAATATTTAATGTTTGTAACCGATGTTATTTATGCCTTGTAGCTTCTGATATTTGAATATTATGAAATCAAGTGGATAAGAATTTTTTAAAATAATTAAAAAAAAAACAACCGAACAACCCAGTCCAACCTGAATAGAGAGTTGAGTTACGTTGTAAACTCTATTAGAGTTGGTCGAGTCACGAACCCAACCAACTATCAATTTTTTATTGGTTCAAAAGATTTTGACAACATATTTTTTTTCTTATTTTGAGTATGCAGTGACGTGTTTAATATTTTGTCGTTTAGTTCATTAAATTAATCGTGGGTGTGAATAAGCTTGCCTCAACTAATTTATTAATTTACGGGTGTGTGGTCATGGTGTTTGTAATAAATAATTATTAGTAATAAAAATAAATTTTAGGAAAATAATAAATTTTAGGAAAATAATAAATTTGGCACATCAAATTTGTTGATATATATATAGATAATATAAGCCAAATAAAATCCCACGGATATATATAAACATAATATTGAAAAAAAGAAAAATAAATTCAAAAAAAGACATAAGTATGTCTTGGATAACATAAATTTATATAATTGTTGGAAATTGAGACATGACATGTTTTGGATCCCTTCCCTTAATCCAATTTAATACCCAACAAATTTTAAATAATATTAAAATTCTTTAAATTTAGATTTATACCACCAAATCCGAGAAATTATTTCTAGTGTCTGCTTTATTATGACCCATGACCCACCGAGAATTATACACCGATTGGTGATGTCCCACGTTGGTTGTGGAGGATAATAAACCACCATTTATAAGGGTGTGGAAACCTTCTCCTAACAGACGCGTTTTAAAGTCTTGAAGGAAAGCCCAAATGGTATTAGAGCCCGACATCGTACGATGTGTCAGCCTTCTCGCTGTTTTTCGAAAGGGGGTAGACATGAGGCGGTGTGCCAATAAGAACGCTGGACCCCAAAAGGGGGTGGATTTGGAGGTAGTCCCACATCGATTAGAGGAAGGAAAGAGTGCCAACGAGGACGCTGGGCCCTGAAGGGGGTGGATTGTGATGTCCCACATTGGTTGGGGAGGAGAACAAACCACCATTTATAAGGGTGTGGAAACCTTCACCTAGCAGACACGTTTTAAAGCCTTTAGGGGAAGCCCGTAAGGAAAAGCCCAAAATGACAATATTTGCTAGCGGTGGATCTGGGCCGTTATAGGAACATATGTCACAAATTGCACGTCGGGTCTAACTGGTAGTTCACAAGACGACTCTACCCTAAGTTAGTCATGTTGTGGTAGTTTTATTGAGGGAAAGTCCAAAAGAACAATGTCTGCTTGCGGTGGATTTGGGCCGTTATAGGAACATATGTCACAAATTGCACGTTGGGTCTAACTCGTAGTTCACGAGACGAGTCAAACCTAAGTTAGTCATGTTGTGGTAGTTTTATTGAATAGTGTTTGGTTGAGTCAAGGTACATATGTCACGAACCGTACGGTCGGGTCTAATTGGTAGTTCACACGATGACTCAGACCTTAATTAGTCACGTTGTCGTAGTCTCATTAAATTAGACACGGACCGCACAGTTAGGTCTA